TCTGCATTTCGCGACCATGACCCCCCCCCGATCCCTGTGACAGTTGACACTTTTGCAATACGAAACGTAAAAAGTGACGACAGTTTTGCGTTTCGCGACGATTTTTCGTCTCCGGCAAGTTCGATGCAAGCCCGACACTCCGCGAACGCTTGCGAACGCTTGCGTCCACAAACGCAACGACCTCGCGTCGCCTCCTGGACTCCTGGACCCCAACCTTAAAACGGGAACCCTTCTGCTACGCATTCGGGAAAAGAGGTGCTCGACAATTTAAGATGTCCTGAATGAGATCCACTTGCATTCGAACACTCATATTGAGCATAGGCATAGCGGCAGAATCCTTACAACGTTAGCTTCCATGAATCTCCCAAAAACAGAAAGGTTTCTTGTGAAATCTTCGCTGCTTCGCTCGTGTGTGCAGATGGCATCGCTTCGATGAGTCTCTTCCCTTTTGGAAGTTTTCATCTTTACCAAAGAACCGCCACCACAGACCCAACATGCAAATCTGTGCATCAGATTGTGCATTGGAAGATCGGGAGCAACAAGCGTGCGCTCAACAAAGCTTCCAACAAAGCAACAATCTTGAATTCAGAGCCTCAGCAGGCACAGAAGCGGCGAGTGGAAGCGGAGACTGAACGACAGGAAAGGCAGGTGTAGTTCTGTGCACCTTGCCACCAGAGGATGACAGCCAGGCAAAAGCTTGAAGCCAAAAAGCGTGAGGAGAAGGCCATGGAGACCAAGGACTGCAGAAGCAAACGTCTGCCTTGCAGCCGTTGCAGCTTGCTTTTTCTTTGCATGATGCCCTGATTGTCCAGCTGCAACCAGAATGCAAACCAGGAAGAGACAGCAGCCTGGACTACTGATGAACTGGGCCTTCTAGCTAAAGGACTGCAAAAGTCTGCCGCTTGGAAGCCCCTACCGCCAAAGGATTTCTTAAGACATGTCTTGAGAAAGATAGTGCCAGGTTTCCTGGAGGAATGGGCGGGCGCTGGAGCTTGATCACGCCACTTGCCAGCAGTGGCGCATCGAAGGTTCTCAGCGCTCGGCAGGCTCTTCTGGTAGCGCCAAATCTGTAGGAAGCTATTGAATGACAGCGGCTATCCTCGAGCAGAAAAAGAAGTGGTTGACAAGACCAAGGATCTTGCAGCGTGCTCTTTATTCATCTCTCCGCACATGCGTCATCTCTGCCTTTGGTCGGTCGAGGAGCTATCTGAAGGCCAGTCGCTGCGTTCGATGGGCTCCAAGATCGCACAAGACTTTCAGGCCATTCAAGACAAGTACATGTTGTTGCTGTGAGATGCTGTGAGCATCCGTCATTGGAGGGGTCCGCTCCCAAAGCCAAGGCCAAGGTATCCACTCAACTGCATTCCATAAGCCAAGTTAATGCAAGTTACATCAAGTTTGAACAAAGTTACAGTTGTTGCAGTGTGGGATCAGGCATCTTCAGCCGAGGCGGAGCGCTTTTGCACTCAGCTTCACTCCCCTGTCTGCAGATTTTCCTTGAAATATGCTGCCAGGCCCCAGTGGCGGATGCGAAAAGCAAGTCAGCAGATAAAGCTGAGCCTTCTAAGGCTGCTTCTGCGGGTGGCGCCGGCTGAGACATGTGTACTGAAGCCCCTGCAAAGCAGGACTCAGACTGGAGCGCTGAACAGCAGCAGGCGCTCGAGAAAGCTCTCCAGAGGCTTTAATCCTATGCGTCCAGCAATGCAGCAACAAAAATCTGAGTGGCCGTACAGATCCATGACGTTTGATGAGGCATCCGGCCAGCCTAGACAGGAACGAGCGCTGGAAGCTAATAGCAGCAGATGTGCCCGCCCAAGCTCGTCGTTTCAGCATGCATTTTCCGCTAGTGGAGGTACCAGGCAAAACAAAAGCCCAATGCGTTGAGCGCTTCAAGTTCCTCAGGGAGCAGCTTAGTAAGGCTGGGGCAAGTCGGCCAAGTGATGCTGCAAATCGGACAATGCGGAGCTGTAAAGTGCTGCAAGGCCAAGAGTTGAGGCAAAGCTGCAAGAGCCAGGAAGCGGACAGCGAAGACAAACTCTGTCAGCTGCATAGAGAGCAAAATGCGCTGCAACAAATTCTTTGCACGCATGGCAGTGTACGGTCAACGCAACATCTGGTGTTGTCAGTCTTCTCCTGCGTCTGCATTTTTGCGGCTCGATATCCAATAATGTCCATTGGTCAGGATGCTCTTGGGGTCAGCGTTGACGTTGAAGTTCATGCAATGCAAGCACAATGCCAATTAATGCCATACATACTGCTGCCATGATGATTACCTCCCCAAATCAAGCTACAATCGCGGGACCTGCACATTACATCCCCAGCTGCCTGAGAGACAAAACTTCAGCTTTTGCTTCCTACTTTGCATGCTTGCCTAACATGAAGAGCTGGGCAGTGCGGCAGCTGGCTTCAGCTTTGTGGCATGCTTAGGTCTTCAAGTTTGCCAAAGCTGTTCCTGCAAGCGCAGCAGCGTCAAAGGTCCGACTACATCGATGGCATTTCGCCGGAGACAGTACAAGCTAGCTTGGGACGAGATATCGGCATTCTGGAGCTCAATGGTGCAAGGGTCAGTCCACAGGCAGTATCCACAGCACTTGCAAAAGATGATTGCCTTGATGAATCATGCACAGGCTGTTGAAAAGTTTGGCCTGGAGCTGCTCAACAGCGAGTTGAGCATCGATGAGCGGCGCTCATTCATCTTGCGTCAACTTCCTCGGCAGACGTAGACACAGCTGGAATCTCGAGGCCAGAGTTCCCTGGCGTCATCTGAAGTCTCAGCCAACGACGCTTTCCGTGCGCTCTGTCCGCTTAGAGTTGCGACTGCGCTCCAAGCAGCTGCTTGGCAATGTGAGTTATTTCTCTTTCAGTTTCATGATGTGCTTCCAAATGAGTATCTTGGTTGGGTATGTCCCCATTTGGAGCTTGAAATGACACACGTGTTGCAAGTGCAGGATGAGGGCTTGAATCAGCAGTTGCGGACCTGTATTTTCTTCCCTTGGAGCTATGGCCCTCTAGTGTTCGAACCTTTCACTGGAGCTGCGGGCTTTCCTTACATCCTTAGGTGTAGAGACACCGAGTGATGTCATTGGGATATGACCGGATAAATCTATATTGCTAGGGAACTGCGGCTTACTTGTGCGGGGTCGCCGGACTTGCAGATAGCAGCAGCTGAGCTTCATGGCAGGGCAAAGCGATTGTCGAGCAAAGCCGTCAGCGTGCAATGACGGCATCTGCTGCAGCTTTTGCCAAAGTGGCCAACCACGTCTGACGCATTGGCGGAAGATGCCTGATGCTTCTACTCGGCCAACCGCTGGGTGTAGCCCTTCACCATCTGCGCAGCTTGAGATGTCCGGCCATCGGATCAGGACGGTACACAGCGCGATGTCTGGCGCACTCATGCTCGACGCTACGCGTTTGGCACTGGCGCATTGCGACGGTGTCAAGACATCCTGCAACACCTGAACGGCGCGGCGGCATGCCCTAACACACTCACGCTGACGCTGCGCCAATGCCGGGAGCCACTCACCCCACGCTGCAACTTTATGGCTAGAAAGTGTACATCTGCTTCGGGTCAGCTGTGACGCAGAAAAGGCGATGGCAGCTCAGCGCCCTCCATCCCCAGTGGAACAAATGGAATCGGGTGTGGGGCCATAGTAAACACTTCTCTATACCTTTCTAGCTCATAAAACACCTCTCCAGCCCTTCAAATACCTCTCCATCCCCCTCCATCCCCAGCCCGGGACTTGACGGTGGGGCAAAGGGAACCGGGTCTCTGGCCCTCTCTATTTTCTAGCGCTTAAAATGCTTCTCCAGCCCTTCAAATACCTCTCCAAATTTGGGGACGTGATGGTGGGGCAAATGGGATCGGAGTGGAGCTGAGGGGTCGGGGCCTTGTTGGGGCCGCAGTAAACACCGCCCCGCACCCTTTCCAACCTTTAAAGTACCTCTGAAGTGAAGGCCTTCAAATACCTTTCCAACCCCCTCCATCCCCAGGCCGGGACGTGACTTTGAGGCAAATGGAATTTGGCCCGTGACGTGACGGTAAATGTAATCAATAGAAAGCCGAGTCTGACGTGTCGGCCTCGTTGGTTGCAGCCGCAATTATTTAATTCCTCTCAAAACGTCTGGACCCCTAAAATTCCTCTCCAGCCCTTCAAATACTTCTCCACCCCCCTCCATCCCCAGCCCGGGATGTGACGGTGGGGCAAATGGAAGCGAAGTCTGATGTGGGGGCCTGGGGCCTCGTTGGGCCGTAATATACCCCTCTCTTTACCTCTCTCGCCCTTAAAACACCTCTCCTTCAAACACCTCTCCAACCCGCTCCATCCCCAGCCCGGGAAGTGACGCTGGGGCAAATGGACTGAGTCTGACGTGGGGTATGCCGCAACAAATGTTTTTTTCAGCTCCTCAGCCACTCCTTCCATCCCCGGCCCGGGACGTGACGGTAGGGCAAATGGAATCGGGAGGGAGCCAAGTCTGATGTGTGTGGGGTTGGGGCCTCGTCAGGGCCTCGTTGGGGCTGCAGTAAACAGCTCTCTATACCTCTGAACCTTAACATCTCGTGCCTTCGAAATACCTCTCCAGCTCCTCCATCCCCAGCCCGGGACGTGATGGTGGGGCAAATGGAATCGGGAGGGCTAGTCAAGGCGGCAATCTATATCTCGACCCTTAAAATGCCTCAAACTAATTCTCCAGCTCTTCAAATACCTCCTCAACCCGGGACGTGACGGTGAGGCAAATGGAATTGCCCCAACCCAAGACGTGAGTGAAAAGGAATCGGGAGGGAGCTGAGGTGGGGTCGGGGCCTCGTCGGGGCCGCAATAAATACCTCTCCAGGTTGCCGGACCTTGCAGAAACTCATGATGGCGGAGTGAAACCTTGGATTTGCGCAGGGAACTGTGGGTTTGGGGATTGATCGTCCTTGACATCTTTCTACTCGAGCTTTGTGTGATCGCATGGTTATGTGCTTCCACGAGTTCTGGATGCCAGTGTCTTTGAAGTTGGCCAATGTTCACTAGCATCCTGACGCGTTCTGCAAATTATGTGCATTTCTGTGCTTCCAAATGAGTGTGTTGGTTGGGTATGGGTCCATTGGGAGCTTGTAATGACACATGCGTTGCAACTGCTGTATGAGGGCTCAAATCAACAGTTGCGGATTTTAATTTTCTTCCCACCCACCCACCCTAAGTGCCCCTGCAGCATAATGGGTCGTGAGGCTTCGCCGCGGTTTGTGCTTTGCTTTGTTTGGGGATCGATTGTCTTTGACATCTTTCTACTTGAACTTTGTGTGATCACATTGTTACGTGCTTCCACGAGTTCTGGATCCCAGTGTTTTTGGCACTGGCCGATGTTCACTAGCATCCTGACGCGTTCTGCAAATTATGTGCATTTCTGTGCTGCTTCGCGTGTGTCGTGAGTGTATTACCTGCCTCATCTTTCCCGAAAACACCTGCCTGGACAAATGTTTTCCTATGTTGCATGTGTAAAATCCCTACTCCGCAGGGCCTTCTTTGCAAGCTTTTCACGAGTGATGCGGCCAAGCTGCTTGAGCGTGACCATTAGCGCCAGCAATTTCAAGAAACGCTCCGCAATCCCATGCCGGGGTGGCCTGCCAGTTCCTAATGTTGAAGTCTTAAGAGCAAGTAGAACATGCGTCTGCAGATTACGGACTGCTGCTAGATGCTCACTGGTCGTCTTGTCCCGGGAGGCAAAAAACGGGCCTTAGCGCTTTTTTGTGAGTTCTGAGGACACCAGCATCTGGGCAACCGAGAGAGAGCAAAGAGGCCGAGGCGGATGCCTGCAGACTTTTTTCTCTCAATCGGAGAGATTGCAATTCCTCGAGGTCAAGAAGCTGGAGAGCCAATTGGCAGCGGAAGCCTCCTCAGTCGGGGGCTCAACTGAAGTGCGAGTCGCTCTATGTCTTCATGCAGTTGTGATGATGAACTGTTGGCATGAAATGGCAGAGGCTCAGGATAACTCATCGGGATTCGTGATCGGACGAGTTGCGCAAGTATCTCATGCTATCTTGCGGCAGCTGCGGGTGACGTTGGGCAAGCTGGAGGCGAAAACCTATCTCGGAGGTGATTGCTTGCGTTCAGCAAGTTTCGACCTGGCTCAGGCACAGGTGCACCATGAACTCCCTGACAAGGCTGCTAACTGAAGCGTGGATGTGGGTAGGGTTGGGCGCGTTGGGGCCCTCTAGACCCGAGCAGGCTCCTTTGACTCTGTCTCTGGGCGAATCGCGCCTGGAAAGCGTCGGCGATGACTGGACAAGCTTACCACCTTTGGAGGAGTCCTCTTTGCGCAAGGCACGAGCAAGTTAGGGCCTAACGTTTGTTTCTATGTGCCGCTTCTTTGTGTTCTACAAAATACAAAACCTCCTTTTGGAGGTGCTTCGCTTCTCTGGATTTGAGCTATGTTTGGGAGGCAAGGTGCTCCTTTGTAAAAAGTGTGGACATTTGAAATCACCTGATGAGTTCCTGCTGTGTGTTTAGACAACTTTTTTCTTGTAAAGGGAGCGGCATGCGCTCGAACAGTACCAATAAATGGAATGTTGGTGAGTTGCAGGGGTCTCTAAGTCTTGAGGTCTGTGCAGCCAAGTGCGGGGAGGGGTTGTTAAGATGTTTATGATCGGGTCGGGCACACGCATGTGAGCAGTCGTGAAAAATCACAAGCTGCCGCTAGGAAAAGCGCTGCCACAAACAGCTGGAACCAAAGGCGCCCGAAAGGGATGCCTCTCAATCTAAGACAAGCCCTTCTTCACACGGTCCAGGACATATCCCGAGCGATTAGACTTCTCCAACGCTAAAATCTACTTGTGGCAGTCAAGAATACATGGAGTTTCGGCAAATACTCCTTGCAGGTCAGGACCAACTCTTCGGTCCGCTCTCCTTGCAAGTCAAGCTGCTGCACGCGCCCGAGGAGGCCTTAGCCAAGCTTTGGCTCGAGCTTCCACAGGCCTGGCTAAGCTTAGAGCGCTGAGAGGTCAATGATTGCGTGTTTAAAGCTTGTGCAAAGCTGCAGGAGTCGGATGCCGCGTTTCGAATCTCTGCGGAGATGCTGAAGGAGCTGCGAAGCTGGTTCGACTGGGCGGTGCGTCGATATTTGATGACCTACTGCAGCGATGGCCGGGAACTGTCAGAAGCTGCAGGTCGAAAGTATGCACTTCTTTATTCTCAACAGATTTCAGGTTCTCTTCAGGATGAGCAGAAGCTTCTTCTAGAGCGTCTGGAAGAAGCCGCAACCACCAGATGGCTGGCGAAGTGGAGAATTCAGTCTCGACTTGACCCGTCCCCGAGTGCTCCTAGTCAGTGGTCTTGGTGGGGCTGGTCTTCGGGCGCTTCAAATTCAGAGGAGGCAGACATGCCCGAAGTTTGTGCCGGATGGGAGATGGAGCCAAATGGGGACAGCGTTCCTTCGGTCAGGGCCTTTCTGGACGAGGTTGGTCTCTGAAAAGATGAGCTGTTTCATTTGCTGTCTCATTTTGTTGACCACGCCCTGGACGAGGTTGGTGCAGATGCCGAGCTTGAAACGCCAACTCGCCTGGAAATTGACATGCTGATACCCCAATACACGGCCCTTTGCACTGCTTCAGGCATGGGCCAACCCTTTGTGCCTTCCTTCGTGAGTTCTTTCCCTGACCAGGCGGTCTTATGGCGGCTTCTGTTGGAGGTGTGGCCTTCTCGCTGGGCGTTGCTGCAGAAGCATGTGCGGGATCAGCGTCCTTGCAGCGGCGAATCTCAGCCACTGTGGTCATCTCATCGATGGAGGTCTGCTTGGACCGGCAACCGTTTGTGCAGCTTCTGCAAAGGCAAGGCGAGCGGTCGCAGACAAAGGAGCAGCCATATAGGCAGGTATTTTATTGAAATGCTGTCAGCCTATTGTAGGGTTTTGTGGCATTCGTGGGGTGATGCGTGTAGACCCACAGTGGATCTAGCACCACAGGCTCGAAGCAGGCGATGGAATGCAGTTGCGCCTCGTGGCAGAGGAGAAGCCAGCGAATCCTTGGGATGTGTCAGTATCCCTGTTAGGAGAGCCGATACAGGCCAGGTCTCCATGACTTGAGAGCGTTTCGCACCAACAGGACAAGGACATGCCATGCTTATTCTAGCCCTAGCGGCACAGGCCGGCCAAGGGCTGCAGTAGCAGCCTGAGTAAGAGTAGTAAGTGATACCAAACTTTCAGTCCTGCTGACGTGCGATACACATCCCCCCCCCGCACCAACTAGGACAGCCGCGTCATCTGCACAATCAGGACCCCGCTTTCAGTAGAACGAACCTGGTGATTTTTGAAGATTTTTGAACGGAAATGGGAAAAGGAACGCGGGTGGGGAGTGGTAAGGTGGCCAGTGGAGACCCTATTTGCCATTTGCAGTTGCACCTTCATGTTTTATTCTGACATGTTTTATTCTGATCACGCCAGTATAATGCCTCCACTAAACGGCCTCTCCCCTGCTTGCTGGCGGAGTGAAGGTTGTACAATCTTTCTGGCAAGACTTTGGACGCATTTCGCCATCAAACTGAACGTTGCCCAATTTTCTCACGAGCTTCGGGACAGCTCAACAGCTGAACATGTGTAAATGCAGATTTTTCCGAGATCTCTGAGTGTACACGAGGAGGAAGTTCTCTGTGCAGTCCCGACTCCGACTAGTGTGCAACTTGTTTTGCATGCCTGCGATTCTCGTGCCCTGCAGGTGCAGCTTGCCCCTTGGAGTCTGCATGGTGCCTTGCGCACGGCGCAGGACGTCTGGAACGCGTGGCGGGGCTGTGCAAACCTGGAGGTCTCAACCATTCTGGAGGATCTCAAAGGCCCGGATCTCAGCGATCAAGCCGGTGGGGTTGGAGTCGCAGATGGCCTGGGGAGTGGCCTGGAGGGCCTCAAGTCCTTGACTTTTCAAGTTGAAGTGGAGGCTCCCATCCTGCGTCTGCAAGCTTGGGAGGATGGAGCTTCTCTGGAGCTACACCTTGGGCGCTTTTTCAGCAGATCCTTGAAGAAGGAGAAGTTGAAGATCGATTCTGGGGCTTCGCTCATGGCGCTAGTTGACCAATACGCCGAAGGCGTGGAGCCTGCAGACTTTGCCTTACTTTGCGAGCTGCGCGATACTCGACTGACGCTTCTGGAGCCAGGACAACAGGATCGGAAACCATATGAGCCATCGACAATTGTATTTGGGGCCTTTCTAGATGAGGGCATCCAAATACACACAGAGGCCACTGAAATACGTTTGCACGTTGACCCAGGGCTTCTCCGATTACTCGGACAGATTCGTGGAGGTTTGGACTTTGCAGTGGCGCCATTGTCACAGGACTTCGTAGGAGTTTCGTCTTCGTCCTCATCATCGAGACAAGACAAGTTCAAAGGCAGATCGCCGCCATCACCATTTCAGAAGCTTCCACTCTGCTTTGCTCTTACCACCAGCAGCTTCGATCTCAATTGGGATCCGGCTGGTCGGGCTTGCCACGCTGAATCCGTAAAGGGCCATGTCGCTGGATTCCGGTTTGGTCTGAGGGGGAACGCCTCTGGTCTTGAAATACATGGTTCGGCCCAAGATGTGCGACTCGACTGCGGTGGTCGCAGATTTCTCTCGAGTTTAGGTCATTTAGATGTTGCTGCCAACTATTTACAGCAATCGATCCGCCTGCAAATCTCGGCTCCACCTTTGGAGCTTCGCTGGGCAGCGATATCCGTAAGGATAGGTCGAGCAGCATTGGAAGCTATTCAGAAGGAGCTGCAGAGCGGCCAAAGCGAAGCCTTCCGGCGCTGTGGTGGAGCAGATGTGAGCGTTTCGCGTGCCCTGTGGGATCACTTTGTGGCGGAACGGACTGAAGAGCTGAGAGGTGCTTGGGACCAGGCCATTACAAACCTGTCCAATGACGAGCCCTCTGCTGCCAGGCTTTCCGTGGCTCTGTGCCTTCAAAGCCAAGGGCTGCGGGCAGTTCTGCTGCGACCTGGGTCTTCCATTGTTGAAGATACTGAGGAACTGCGAGCTACAATGCTGGGCTTCGACTGCCAGCTGAAACGTCACGAAGGTTTGCAATTTAGTTCCACTTTGAGCAGTCTGGAGGTCTGGTTGGGCTCTCGTCTTCTGTTGGCTCCCAGGCAGGCCGACCGGCCCCTCCTTGAAGTCAACATCGACCGGCTTTGCAAGAGCCGCTTTGTGATGAATGTTACGTGGGCACAAATTGCACTTGTCTATCGACAGCGAGATTTCGAGCGGATAGCAAGTTTGTGCCAAAAGGAGATATCCGTGTCTGGAAGCTTGACCGAAACAAGCAGTGGACCACCGAAAGCAGCTGGGCATGACAAGGCAGCCAAGGAAGCAGAGAAGCCTGTTGCCGAAAAGCAGTCATCGAGCACATCTTGGAGGTATTCTTTCAACATTGACGCTCCTTTACTCTTCCTTCCGGCCAGCACTGGCAAGAATTGTGACGTAGGCATGCTGCCTCCGGATGATCTGCGCGGTGGTCTTAGCATTGAAGATTCCAGCCAAGCTGAAAGAACTTTCCTGCCGCTGCCTGAGGAGGGTTTTGGTGTTTTGGACCTGGGCAACTGTCTGGTTGAGAATGACACTGAAAATTCTAGCGATACCACGATAACTGTTCGTCTTCGAAGGCTTCAGATCTTCTCAGTGGCGTCGCGTGACAGGGACAAGCAGCAGCTGTGGAGCCAAGTGTTAATGCCCGTGACAGCAGTTGTGGAAGTACGAAGCAGTACCGATTGTTTGGACATCCAAGTGCACGCTCCGCTGACATCACCCGACAAACCGGAGAGCCAATCCCTGCCGTGCCACGACCCACTCCGTGTACTTCAGGCCGGAGAATCTTCAGAGTCAAGCTGTGGACTACAGTCTACCATCAACCTCACCCGGGCACAAGCAACCCAGCTTTTCGATGTGCTCTACCTGAACCTCACATATGCTTCTGCTGATGAGGTGGCTTGATTGCAAGACTGGTCTTCTCTGACAGGGTATCTTCTTGCAAGCCTTGTATTTCGCGGAAGGTTGCAACAAACATCTCAACATCGAGCATAGCTCCAACAAACGCTGGAAGTTTCACTGAAGACAGACCAAAAACAAGCAAGCATACAAGGAAAACCCAGGTCTGCTACAGACAACACAAAGACAGCTCCTTTTCGCATTGGTGTCATCAGCTTTTGCACAGGTGTCCTTCCGAGCAATGCAGTTTGGAGTTGCATCGCGGTGTGGTCTGTCATCTGACAAGTGGAGGGGTGATTGTGGAAGGATTGAAAAGCAAGCTCCAAGAGGAGCAACGAAGGGTTCGTGGACAATCTTCTTGCATGCTGGCTGCCGGTGTTGTTGTTGCTACTGCTGCTGCTGTTTCTGCTGCTGCTGCTGCTGCTGCTGCTGCTGGTGCTGGTGCTGTTGCTACTGCTGGTGCTGTTTCTGCTGTTTCTGCTGCTGCTGCTGTTGTTGTTGTTGCTGTTGTTGCTGTTGTTGCTGTTGCTGCTGCTGCTGCTGCTGCTGCTGTGGCTGCTGTGGCTGCTGCTGCTGTGATTATCGTTGTCGCTGTCGCCGTCGTCATCGTCGCCGTCGTCATCGTCGCCGTCGTTGTCGTTCTCGCTGTCATCGTCGCTGTCGACGTTGTCGTCTGATTAGAGTTTTCAATCTTGCAAGGATGGCACGAATTGCTGCATTTGTTCGGCGTCCTGGCCCCTTCTGTTGCATGTCTTTGACTTTCCTGTTATGTGCGATACTCTGGACTTAAGAAACTTTGCTGAGTGCAAAGCTTCTGCTATCTTGTAGCTTGCTCTTGGAGTTGCTTATTGACGTTCTTTGCTCATTGTTTGATAAAGATTCCGTCTTTCTCGCGGTTGCATTTCAGGGTATCGCTGGGGACCTTTGAGGCGCCAAGATCCTATATAGGCTTCAGAGCGATCGTTTCTTTGGCTGGCACACCTGTCTCTGACAAACCTCTCAATTCATGTTGAACCCTCACTCTCACTGCTAATCCGCAGCAGAGCAGTGGCTTCGAACATAGATGCCACTTCAGGTTGAGATTTTGAAAGCGGAGCTGAAATCGAGGCTGCAGCAAGAACTGGCAGAGCGCCTCACGCAGTCAGGCAGAGGCTTTCGATTCAAGCTTCAGTGGACCGGGTCTCTTGTGCTTGATGCGGGCTTCACGTCGTCATCGCCGCTAGCTCGTCTAGAAATGGCAAACGGATTCTTTGAGTTCCGCCGTCCGTACTCCAACGGGGAGAGTGTTGAGCGCTACATCGAGTTTGCTTGTGAAGGTGGCTGCATCAGAGACGCACGTAAAGGACAATCAAGACTGTTGGTTGACTTGCCGCGTCTTCCACAATATGGTCTCAAGGTTTCAGGGAGGCTGCCGGCCGAGCAAGATGGCATCACTCGCACAGACGTAAAGGTACATGAGCGTCTTGCCTAAATCTAATTCTGCAATTGGTGATGGGGCCTGGGGCCTGGTCCCCTCGGA